GGCCACGCTTGTGGCGGTGGAAGTGATGGAAAAGGGCAATGAAGTCGCCACGTATGCCCTGATCACGAGAGTCAACAACCTCGAGAGTCCGTTTGCCGGCATCGTCTTCAAGTACGTCGACTCGTTCTTCAAGATGTCTCGGAACAGCATCAACAACGGCAGTCATCACCGATGCGCGGTGGGACGTGTGGTCAGTGTACGTATTTTCGTACGCGTGAAAACTACCGTCGCTGGGATGCTGCCCCCCCATAAGATGGAGATAACTGTTACTGGAGGTAAAGCGAAAATGGGACAAGAGCAAGTGTTCTGCATGGCGCTGCAGAAAGACCTATGAGCCTTTTTAGAGGTCGGCTCATGGTCTCATGATCGGTAAGGCCGTTAGTCTCCATTATGTGCAGTAGACCGCCATTCGTCGTGATTGTAGCCAATGCTGTGCGGTTGAAAGATGTGGATTGTTGGCGCATTTTCATTGGACCAAAATGATTAGACTTAAAATAGACCAGAAAATGTAATTCGTAGTAAGAGACCTCAGTTTGCAATTTAATTCGGCCTCCGCAAGAGCTTCCCGTCCGGATAACGACGGGAGCGAAAACAGCAAGGTGGTAGCGTCGATCCTCGTGGTCTTCTTGGCCACGCGCTTTGTCTCTACCGCTGCTTGGTCTTTTCCGTCACCACCACCATTATGTCCATATACCCGTCGACCAATTGCTACCACATCGCAGGCGGCAACGGTGTGCTGACTGTGAACCCCAATACGGACAAGTGTCCCGTCCCCAAATAGGGGAGTACTACTGTAGTACAGGTAGAATAGATCAAGTAAATGCCTGTAGTGTTGTCGAATTTCCTATCGTTTTAAGCCAGGGGTATGTTGTGGCTGTGGTTTATCATATCATATTCTCGACGCCCCCTCCGAGACCTGACTTTGAGCACAGGTGTCGTGCATACAGTACACCACACAGCACAACACTTGCCCACCCCTCCCCGAACGACATCGGCTCCGACTTGATTTCCACCAGCACATACACCATCACAATCCACAACCACGCACGGCGCGTGGCATATATTGCATAGGGGACTTTGGGACCCATGGAGTAGTCGAACGATCCGTTGTACAGTAGTTAACCCCGTTCAAGCCAAACCCAGCATGGACAGCACGATGACGAGCGTGCCGTTGTTGGGGGCGTCGAGGTTGAAATACCACTTGTATGAACCCTTTTCATCACTTTCGCCATATAAACATACAAACCAACGCACAGAAATCCTTATATTCAAATCACTGGACTGGTTTCTTGTCGGCAACCACCCGTCTCCATGTTTCAAAGCGGCGTCGTTGGAATCGGTTGATGGCTTCATTGTGGTTGTGGTTATGAACAACCCCCACAAGCCCCCCGCACACGTTGGATAGTCCATGCGCTGTATTTGGTGTGGCTGTCGTGGTTGTAAAACTACGTGACCATCCACGATGTAGCTTAATTGCACCGGTGATTCTGTCGTGATGCAGCAGCCTGGCAAAAAACAATACTTCGACTCCATCTCTACCGCACTTGGTGTCTCCTCCACGGGTCTCGAACGGTCCTTAACGCCGGCCGCTTCCACCCCCCACCATCAGTGGTTCAACTCCAAACGATGCACCAGATATCCTTCAGTTTCGGGCTACCCAACCAACTGCCCTCATCCCGCCGGTTCTGAGTCCCCTCCCGCCCTCCGCCTACCAACTTCCGTCGTCGGCCCCCGCTGGTCTGGATGCTCAATACGGCCATTCTCGAGGCACTGCGCCCAGCCGTGCGGGCACTAACCGAAAATTATGTCACCCGTCGTGAGCGACGCTGCACCGCGTGGACGTCTCATACGACCCGATGCTATGGACCAAAGAATGGAAATCCCCCGTCTCGTCCAATGGTTTATGTACCGTTGGCACCACTAGGCCTTCCCTTTCCACATCTCTCAGGACACCCCGCTTTGCCCCTTTTGTTTTTTCCAGACCGCGAACACCCATTGGTTATGCCCCCGAGCTCGGCTCTTGTGGTCCGGCGTCCTCGAGCTCTGGTTCGACCCGACAGACCACCAACTCCCGGGCGATCATATGGCCTCACTTCTAAACAGCGCTCAATGGCCGGTAGCGCCGTGCTCTTTAACTCCTCGAACTGGGCAACGCACACCACTGCCATCGACCACCTCGGTCTCCAGGTGTGGCAGCTGGCACTCGCGCTCTCCCTCCGCACCCTTTGGAACGACACATGTCAAGGTAGAATTCCTTGATGGGCTTGGTTTAGCCACAGTACGAACTACGTAGAAACTGTTGTTGGCGAACAACAACGCATATCATGGGAAATACCTTTAAACTTGGATCAACGATGCGATGGAAACTTGGTTGAAATTGTGATGGTGGCAACGATGACCACTATACATTACACGGCAATATTCAACTATTTCTGTGGCCCGAATCCCGTTGCCCCCCAGCAATGTGGTAGGATGTGGTCAACAGGTACATGGACATGGCGTTGGCTGTGACTGACAACGTCAAGCACGAAACGAAGAGGCCATTCAAGAAAACGCCAATGGACTACTGTAGTGACCAGGCTTCATTTTTGCCGTTTGGGGCATGCCACAATGACCCCGCCCAGTGTGAAGACTACCTTGTACCGTTATGGAAGCCTTCTATGACGATATCGCCTCATTTCTGGATGGATATTGGAACCGCCAGGATAACACGAGATATGCAATGTTCATTATACTTTACTTTAAAATGCAAAACAACTTTTTTCTACTTGAGAGGGCACTTGCCCGTCTTGGGGTCCAGCACACCGTTGCCCCCTGCGATGCGGTAGCACTTGGTCAACGGGAAGATGGACATGATGCTGGTGGTCACGGT